CTGACAATAGTTAATATAACGGGAAATAGAGTAGTAACTTTCATTTATGACTCAATAAATATGGTACAATGTGCAGTGAATTAGACCACTTACCTAGAAATGACAATAATCATCGACCAAAGACTTTTTAAATCGAATAACTTTGAATCAATTCGATATCAAGTTTCAATAGCAACATGATATGTACATTTTGAAAACGTAATTTTAACTCCTTAAATCTGATCTAGACGAATTAATAACATTCAATCGAGGATTTTATGTAATTCTTATTAACATTGGCCCGTGACATATCGCTTTTACTATTATTTTACGTCCGTTTAATATGTTGAACATGTGATTACTATACAATTGTTGTTGTATATACATATTGTATTTACTGTGTTCATTGTAGAGAGCTACCCCGTACGTGATATTTTGCAAAAGATATGTTGAATATATTTCATGTCAAGCACACGAGAAGGCAATGTACATAATGCCGGGGTATATTACATCATTGAAATCTTCCATGCAATTATCGCCAAAATATTGGTGTAGAACGTGAACGAAGCAGCATTTACACAGTTGACTCACACAACCAAATGAAAATAAAAACCGACAAAATGTAACGTTGTTGCTTCGCTATCGAATCAAATTTGTGATATTTTATTTCTCAACGACGATGAACACGATTATTCCTAATTGAGTTCCAGTTTACCATTACATTAACTAATAAGTTGTCAATCAAAGCAACCGTTTCTTTGGTAATGTGGGAAGAATGTTGTTTCCAAGTCAAATCAAGTTAGAATGGCAGCAGGGCCTCTGGGAATAGTACGATATGCAGAATAAATACACGATGCTAATTACATCAACACGCGTGTGTGTTTAAACGCTTGACGTAACCAACCAGTTTATTCAGATTTTCATTCATTATAACGTCTTCACATGCGATATACTATTTGTCTTATCTATGAATAAAGTGTGCATGGCAACACCCATCACTACAGACTTTACTATAGTATATTTTAGTACTATTTTTGAAGTAGGTTTGTGAATGAATGTGAACATCAAGGGCGAAAGTCATCCATGCTTCTATTTCGCTTGTCTAGAGATGGTTTATTTGTTGATAAAGATGCAACGTTTATCTGATTCGGATCACTGACGTAGTAGATATACACTGATCGCTAAATAACTGCGATTGACGTAAATCCACCAATTATAGAATTCATGATCATTTTGTCAACGAAAGTCGCCCAATTTATTTTTGTTTTCACGAGAAGAATATTCGAACACTTAAAATGAATATCAACTGGGTATGGGGTGAGATCAGTGCCAAAATTATGGGGTGAGATCAGTGCCAAAAACTTTTCTCTTAGCATTTTACTATTATGTTCACATTCTTTTTT